AGATGAGCTGAAGGCCACTGTCAAAGAAACCTGGGCTTCCATACCACCTGAGCAGTGCCACAAACTGATCACCTCCATGCCACGCCGAATTGAGGCAGTAATTAAAGCAAAAGGAGCCCCTACCAAGTATTGAGTGCATGTACAGTAAATGAACATACTTTCCAGAAGGCCAACAATTCACTAAAAATGTTTTTTTTTTTATTGGTCTTATGAAGTATTCTAATTTGTTGAGATAGTGAATTGGTGGGTTTTTGTTAAATGTGAGCCAAAATCATCACAATTAAAATAACCAAAGACTTAAACTACTTCCGTCTGTGTGCACTGAATTTATTTAATACACGAGTTTCACAATTTGAGTTGAATTACTGAAATAAATGAACTTTTCCACGACATTCTAATTTATTGAGATGCACCTGTACATCGTCATCGCATCTCGTGCACCACTGATAAGGCTGCCTGATGCACAACTGCAAAATTTGAATGCAACGTTTTTGCATTTGAATGTGGATTTTTATTTTAAATTCGATATTTGAAATTCGATTTTTTTTTGACAGCCCTAACACTTACTGTTGTATTTTTCACTTTGTACTTTGTACAATTCATTTAAACTCACTTTAGCTTGCAAACAAAAGTCTAGTTTTTCAATTCAGATTTAACCAATCATGAGCCTTTTACTGAAAATTAAGATAGTAGCAAGTTGGATAAACATTTATTAATAGACTAAAACCAAAAATTCCTTTAACTGCAACCGCACTCAACAGGAAGCTGCTGATTACACATCCTGACTCTTACCTTCTGTCTCAGAATCAGCAGGAGACCAGAAGATGTCAGCTTTGAAAACCCAGGCAGTCTAGACATAACTCTCTCCCTCTCCTTCCTTCAAACTCATTTATGCTGCATCCTTGGATCTTCAATCAGGAGTTTATTGATTGCATAACAGATTTTATTGAATGGCTGTTCAGAACTATTGATTTTGGAAGGGGTTTCTGGGAAAGCTTAAACAAGGACAGCTTATTCCATTATAGGGCATGTAATGCCAAAATAAAAAGTTATTTTCACTTCATGTGAACAGAACATCAAAACTAAGGGACAGAGAACAATACTAGACAACTGATTCCCCTTACATGTAAATAGGCCTACAGTGCTGTGAAAAGGTTTTTGCCCCCTTCCTGTTTTTAACATTTTTTTTTTTTAAAGATTCAGATCATCAAACAAATTTTAATATTACACAAAGGAATTGCAAGTAAATACAAAATGCAGTTTTTAAAGGATTTCATTTATTAAGGGAAAAAAGCTGTCCAAACCTACCTGGCCCTACGTGAAAAATGAATTGCCCCCTCCTGTTACATCATGAAAAAACTGTGATTAACCACATTATTTTAGAGAGCCGAGTTAAATTTCACTAGCCACACCCAGGCCTGATTACTGCCAGACCTGTTGAATCACAAGAAATCACATAAAAAAGAACCTGTCTGATAGTGAAGCATGCTTAAAGAGCAACACATCATGCCGCGATCTAGAAATTCAAGAACAGATGAGAAACAAAATAGACTGTATCAGTCTGGAAAGGGTTATACAGCCATTTCTAAGGCTTTGGGACTCTAGCGAACCACAGTCAGAGCCATTATCCATAAATGGAGAAAACTTGGAACAGTGGTGTGAACCTTCCCAGGAGAAGCCAGCCTACCAAAATTACTCCAAGAGCACAACAATGACTCATCCAGGAGGTCATAAAAGAACCCAGAACAACATCTAAAGAACTGCAGGCCTCATTTGCCTCAATTAAGGTCAGTGTTTATGATTTAGCAATAAGAAAGAGACTGGGCAAAAACGGCATCCATGGGAGAGTTCCAAGGCAAAAGCCACTGCTGACCAAAAAGAACACAAAGGCTCGTCTCACATTTGCCAAAAAAATACATTGTTAATCCCCAAGACTTTTGGGCAAATATTCTGTGGACTGATGAGACAAAAATTGAACTTTTGGAAGGTGTGTGTCCCGTTACATCTGCCGTAAAACCAACACAGCATTTCATAAACAGAACATCATACCAACAGTCAAACATGGTAGTGGTAGTGTGATGGTCTGGGGCTGCTTTGCAGCTTCAGGACCTGGATGACTTGCCATAATTGATGGAACCATGAATTCTGCACTCTATCAGAAAATCCTGAAGGAGAATGTCCGGCCATCTGTTCGTGACCTCAAGCTGAAGCGAACTTGGGTTCTGCAGCAGGACAATGATCCCAAACACACCAGCAAGTCCACCTCTGAATGGCTCAAGAAAAACAAAATTAAGGTTTTGGAGTGGCCAAATCAAGTCCGGACTTAAATCCGATTGAGATGCTGTGGCATGACATTAAACAGTCCAGTCATGCTCGAAAACCCTCCAATGTGGCTGAATTAAAACAATTCTGCAAAGAAGAGTGGGCCAAAATTCCTCCACAGCGATGTGAAAGACTCAATGCCAGTTGCAAACGCTTGATTGCAGTTGTTGCTGCCAAGGGTGGTTATTAGATTTAGGGTGCAATTACTTTTTCACGTAGTGCCAGGCAGGTTTGGACAGCTTTTTCCCCTTAATAAATTCAATCATTATTTCAAAACTGCATTTTGTATTTCCTCGGGTTATCTTTGTGTAACATTACAATTTGTTTGATGATCTGAATCATTCAAGTGTGACAAATATGCAAAAAATAAAAAAAAAAACAGGAAGGGGGCAAAACAATTTTCACACCACTGTATATTATAATTTGTGAAGACATCATAGCCAAATTAACTCATGCTTTAATGTGAGTAACATTTTTAAAGACAAGTTCTTAAAATCCAACAAGTCCTAAAAAAAACAAAATAAAAATAAACTACTTACAATTTCTCAGAAAAGTATTCAAGAAAGTTATTAAAGCACCACAATTTGTTCTGCAGACAAAACATTTTTTTTTACTGTTTTCACCCCCAGGTTTTGAGTTCATTGTCTTGCCATATTGTTATGCTTCATGGCAACAGACAATCCAGCCGTGACGCTCCCTCAAACACCCAACCCCCCGAACCAGTCATAACTGACTCTAATTTGTAGCTTTAGACATATCAGCCAGCTAAGCCCCTTTATTTCCATATAGCTGATTATACAGTAATCCAAAAATAGAGGGTAAGTAATGGCAGGTTGCTCTGCAGGGTAATTACCGGCCAGGACAGTGTGCGTCTGACAGTTGTTTGTGGGGTCTAGTGCAGACAGTGCTTGAATCATCACTAAATCTAATGCAGGCTCCACCGAGCAGCACAATGGATAAAAGACACAGCGGTTTCTGTCTAATAGCACTCATGCGTGAGGAGAGCAACGAGTGAAGAGTCAGTGCACCGTTCCTACTGCTGCCATATGCATCTAGCCGCTTGACTTGTTGCTTCAAATGGCTAATCACAAGAGGAGGTGGGCGCAATTTCTGCCCACGAGAGCAAGCATCTGTTGAGGTCATGCGTTGCATGAGTCATTAATTAATGAGAGAGTTTGCACAATATTTATCCTCACAGACTACAAGTAGAGCCTAACGGTTGATGAAAACATATCAGCAAGCTCATGTGTGGTGTCCTCAAAGTGTGCTACGTTTTATGGTGTCCACACTGAGATACATCCCTAAAAGCACCAAATAAAGGCTAATAATTTGTGTCAAGAATCTTCTGTTCAACTAAGACACCGTTTGTACATTTCAGAAAGACACTAATCAGATTTCTGCAGTATAAACGGTAACATGTAAAATGTGTTTATAACATGAACATATGTAGTCCTACCTGGAGAGCGCTGTTCAGGAAGCAGCTGTTCTGTCCCGGCTCATTGATGAGTCCTTTGCTGGGGGCGATTGATGTCATGGTTCGTGGGGTGAATATACCCTGTAAGCCACTGCTGCCAGATGCAAAGTAGTTTCTTTTCCATGACATGGTGGAGGAAATCAATATCGCTTGAACTCTAAATCGTCCCTCCGTTCAACAATCCTAAGTTCATCTTTCCAAAGTTGAGGGGAAATGCATTAGCATTGTATTCAAAAGACGTAAGAAGAGATTAGAAAATAGTTTAAAAAAAATATTAGTTCTGGGAAAACGTTACAAGGGCGTTGGCTTTTTGTTGTCATCTTGCATCAGACAGAAAAAGCAAATGCCGTCTCTCGGCCTTGTTAACTGCTCTCTGGGATTTGGTTGTGGAATTTCACACCGCTATACTCAGTATTCTGGGTTGTGGGAGGTGTGGTGATCTTCACTGCAGCACTCAGTGCTACACCCTTAAACAGAAGCAACAGTGTGCAGATTGACGGCAAGAGTCTCGTCCTGTTGTAAACAAGTGTGAATCTTCACAACACTGTGTATCTGTAAAAATAAACAGAAATAAAAATGTTAACAATGTTATCTCCTTGCACTCAATCCAATCTAAAGTTCAAGCATTTTTCACACTGTCATTTGCAGCAGCAAAGTGACCACAAGTCATTCATTTTTAATGAGGGTTGCTGATTTTCAGTGGATCATAGAAAGTTTTACTTCATGCAAATGGACAGTGTCAATTGATGCATCAATGTCTAAAAGGAGTGAATACACTGGAGCACATATCATCTCTGAAATACTGTAGTCTAGCAGAAACAAGATGGATGAGAAGTTAATGTTATAGTGTCTGATCTCCCTATTGATTTATGATTACATCACTATGCAATCTGTCTCTGCTTACATATAGGGATATAATAAAATGCTGCAAAGATATAATAAATCCATATATTACATAGACACAATAAATGGAACATTTTTTTAGCAAGAAAACTAATTGCTTGTCGGATTAGAATGACATCTTATTTTTTATCAAATTTTTTTTTATCTCATTTGATTTTCAAAAGCAATGGTATCACACAAATAACATTACAGCATCAAGCAGCAGGAACATCAGCAATAGACAAATGACCTTCCCAGTCGTTCTTTATTACTGATACTAAACTGCTAATAAAGCATTAAAATACATTTCTGAACCATTTCATCCAATTATTTAAAAGAACCAAGTGACAAGATGGAGACTCACAAATCAGACACTACTGTGGATTTTATGCATGTTTTACCCAGCACAAGAATAATACTAGCATAACTATAAAAATGTATGTATTCATATATCCCTGATGTTTAAGACTTCATTCATTTCAATATCAAAACATTGCTTATATTTCAAGCTTTTCCATGACCATGGGAACCCACATCGGGACAGTTCACCCAGAAATATAAATTTTGTCATAATATCCTCACCCTCAAGTTGTTCTAAACCTGTATGACTTTGTTTCTTCTCCATATTTTGAAGAACACTAGGAACCAAGCAAAACTGGTCCTCCTCATTTTATGTTCCAGAGAATAAAGAAAGCCATTCAGATTTGAAACAACATGAGGGTGAATAAATTATGACAGTATTTTGGTGTGAACTATCCCTTAGAGCCATTTAGTGACCCACAGCAATAAAAATCTCAGTATGTGTGAACGCATCAAGTGAGCATAGACTCGCTCCACAAAACACAAACAGTGACGTCTTAACACAGTAGCTGTGAAATTTCCTTTACAATCTGACTCAGATCTCATCCTGCGCGCTAAAATAACACTTGGGTGCAGACAAGGATTTATCTGTTTGTCCCAGTCCAAGCCAGCATACAGAACATCCCCTAGCTGAGTGTTGATGTGCTGCTTCGACACATGACTTACAGGTTGGCCTCTCAGACACGACACTCTGACATAACTCAACAAGTGATGTGATAGTCAAAGCTCTTAAACCAGTCTCCCACTGGTCGGCTTATATTAGCAGCACTTAGCCAAGCAGCAAACTTGTATTAAGGTGAAAAAGACACCCAACAAGGACCACATCCATCACCTGCAACATTTAGATTTTACCTCAAGCTCCTGTCAAGAAGTTTAAAAGTTGCAGCTTCGAGCAGTTCCTCTCAAGAGTTTAGCAAATCTGTCTACGTCCATCACCGTCTGATGTGCTTTTAACGAAAGCAGACTTGAGGGCAGTTTTCAAGGAATGCAGAATAAAACAAGAGAGGGAAAGTCAACAGAAAGAAAAACAAAAGCCACAGACAAAAGACTGACAGGAACAAAGACGACAAGAGCCAAAGTGAATGGATGAACAGAAAAAGAAAAGGGGCTGATAGAAACTGAACTGGAGAGAGAAATTCTAGTAAGATGAGTGTTTATCCAGCTGTGAGTCAGCGGCTGACCTTACAATGCTGATGTCAATGGTTTCCGTGTCTGTGTTTATGGCTTTGAAACCACATTAACGCCTAAATTCGCTCTTAAAATATGCCTTGCCTATAAACTACATGGTATAATGTCCGCTTTCAAACACCCATCTGCATTAGTCTTTGGGACAGATTTGTCAAGTGATGAGTGGGAAAGCTAACTGATAGCTCTCTCCAGATATTGCAGACCTCATTGGGCCATGCAAACAAGCAAAACAATGTCGAAAGCGCCACAGAGCAGAGGTGTTTACACTAGGGATGCTCCGATCGATCGGCCGGAGATCGGTATCGGCCGATAATCACATTTTATGACTCGATCGGTACTCACTAACTTGGCCGATCTCATGAACCGATCGCAATTTGATGACGTCAACGTGTGACGACGTACATGATGCGTGGGGACATAAATGATTTGGCGCTGCAGTCATGTCATCGCCGGTGTGGCAATGCTATGATGTTTCGAGAAACAATGAAAAATTAATTTGTCATGTATGTTTGGCATGATGATATGATGAATGGATGGTTCATTTTTAACAGCAGATTCAGTGACGTTAGAGACTAGAGCTGATCTGCGGAAAAATTAATTTGTCATGTATGTTTGGCATGATGATATGATGAATGGATGGTTCATTTTTAACAGCAGATTTAGTGATGTTAGAGCTGATCTGCGCCTCACTGCACACGTCTGAGGCGCGTTACGGCTCCACGGCCACCAGAGCTGATCGTGGGTGCTCTAGTCAGTGCTTGTATTTATACCGGCCAGCCGCGACACGTTTCTGAAGCGGCTCTCCACGCTGCTTTGCTAAAATAGTCTTTTGTGAGTTGTCATAGCCTACTCAATAGCAGTAACACAGGCTTTACTCCTTTCAAACTTTATCTGGAATGTCACCGTTTCTGTCACTGCAACTTCCAAATCAGGCGAACACACACACACACACAAATGAAATGTCTGCCTGATGACAAAAAAAATTATTTAAAAAAAAAAAAGTAGTTAATATTTGCATCATTTATGATTTATTTTATCCACCCGTGACCCCCCCGCAAATAATCAGAATGCATTTTTTTATTACCCGACCCGCGGATTATCCGCAGCGCACGTGGATATAACCGTGACTGAACTGTTTTGTTCTTTCAGTAGTTTAAATGTTTCCATTTCTTTTTTACTCTTCAGTCTTATATTGGACTGTATTAAACCTTACGTGTTACATCAGACTTCTCCATGTTGGAGTTTAAATGTTTCTATTTATTTTGTCCTCTCTCTAACATTGGACAATGTTAAACCTAATGAGTTGCATCAAACTAGTCCAATTAGCTCTTTTAGGAGTTTAAATGTTTTTTTTTATTTAATGTTTATTTTGTCCACCACAGTTTACTATTGGATAATGTTTAAATAAACCTTGTGGGTTGCAACAGACTGCTCCATTTTGTTTGTATTTATTTTTGTCTTATATTAAGTATCCTGATATACATAATGTTATGCATAAACCCCATTTTAAAGGCATATTAAAATGTTCACCGTACAAGGAATATTTTTTGTGATTATTTATATAACATTATTACATATGTTATATAAAGCTTGAAGCAGAGATGTTCACAAGTCTTTCACTTGGAGTCTGAGTCAAGTCTCCAGTCAAGTCTCAAGTCTTTGGTCACGAGTCCGAGTCGAGTCTCAAGTCATTTAATGGTTTGCTAAAAAAATCTCATTCAGAATCCTCATGTATTGAAATCTTCCTATTTACGACGCTGTTTTATAGGCTATAGACAAAATACATATTCTATGATCTGCTTTGTAAAAATAAAAAGTGGTGTTAAGATGTCAGGTTATTGTACATCCAGCCTGTTATTTATAGGCTATGTTTGAATCCATTACAATGTTCAAAACAGTTTTTCTGTAATGAAATTCTATAATAAGAGTCCGATCTACCATGACACACAAGGAAATATGTGACAAGGTATTACAAAACCATCCAAATAAAGTATTTCTTTATTATATAAGTCAGGGGTATTCAATTAAAGTTCCAAGGCAGAGGCCCGAACAAAAAAAATAAATAAATAAAAACTTTTTTTTCATGTATTGCATTTTTACATTTAGATACATGTGAGGCCATGTGACAGAAAAAAAATACTGTTTCTGTTCAAGGTTTTCCTCCTGAAATCTATATTTTAGCCTACTTAAAAGCATTATCTAAAAACAATGTAGCTACAATAATCAAAATGTTCTCATCTTGAGCAGAAAAGAAACATAACTAGCAATTTTAAAGTTTAAGTTCTATCCTAGCCATCTAACAACAATTTTCCCAATTTTAATGACATGATTCTTTTGAAATGTTCTTAGCCTACAGATTAATAATGCTAAATGTACAATGCGAAATGTCTTGTCACATCTGGTTTGAACAGTCAGAGTCATGGGTTATAGATAGATAAATAGATAGTATGAAAAATAACTATATTTGCAGCATTGTTGTTTACTGCTGCGTTTTGTTGTTTCTGTTGTTTCTGTTGTTGTTAAAATAACCGCGTCATCCGCAGCTCTTGGCGCCAGCGCACGTCCGGAGAGAGAGAGAGAGAAAGCGCACGGAGCTGAAAGGGCTTGAATAAAGCGCGTTTGGCTTTTGATAAAAATACTAGAAGATATAGCGCTGAAAGATATTTACCATAAACGACCCTGAGCGCTTGTTATGTGATCCGCTCTGCTGTTTTGACGCACTGTTCACTTAAAATGGTGCTGTGTTACGGCTCGCAGTTCGGATGGATGCCAGGGTGCAGATGCGGTTTGCCTTTTGAATATAAGTTATATAAGTATTTAAGGATAAAAGACTCGAGTTGCTTTTAAAATTTTCGAGTCAAGTCTGGAGTCATTTCAGTTAGAGTCTGAGTCAAGTCTGAAGTCTATAAAAATGCGACTCGAGCCCGAGTCACTAACTTAAGTGCCCATCTCTGGCTTGAAGCATCAGAATCGGCATCGGTATCGGCCGATCACCATGACAAGAAATCGGTACTTGGTATCGGCTGCAAAAATCCTGATCGGAGCATCCCTAGTTTACACTGGGGAAATCACCCAAAAACTGCTTACTTGGATGTCTCTGCACATTAAACAAGGATAGTAGA